TCTCCCTCCGCGGTCTCCCATGCCAGTCGTTCTTCATCTAATTCACACTTGAGCGGGCAGCCAAGACTGTCTGCTGCAAATCTGAGAACATGAGTCTCGAAAATATCTTGAATCAGGAATTTATGAAGATTAATCATCGTAAGTCTATGGATCTTAATGGTGTGGCCTCTAATATGGTCACAGTCAGACCTAATATTGAAGGTATGAAGACCAAGATGGTGTGGCCTTTTGTGTGGTCGCAGTTTCCTTTCGCTGTATAGAGGTTGTTTGACCTTGTTTTCGCAACTCGGTCCTATTGGCAGAAAGACTTAGAGAAACGCACCTAGTCCGGAGTCCATTGTATGCATGATTATTTCCGAAGTTGGACTGTGAATGTGGTACTTTCCCAGACGTTTCGTCAGCATCATCAGTCAGTCTCGCCATTCGTAGCACCACACAACAACTCGTCAAAGAGACAAGTGAAACCCATCCTTTGACCAAACGTGTGCTAAACAGTTTTGGTATCTCCGCTTCTGCCCTGGGTTATTCACATTTCCTATATCCATCTATCACACCTTCACTGTCACAATTTTTACCGTGCTTATTTTTAATGTAGTGTTGTGTGCTCCTTCGAGCGGCATTCATGAAAATCCTTCACACTCCACACTGTCGTTATCACCCTCTTCACCCTTGTGCTGGAAATGTTTATCAGAGTCTGTCATATTGTTACGTAGTCCTTCATTAGGTCCTATCAGAGTCTCCCTCTTGCCCCGTATAATCCGTCTGCTATCTCCTTGGTACATGTATTTCACTCGACCCCTGTCTCCCCATCTGTGCCACTCGAGGCGCTATTCGCCCACCCTTGCGTCTGGGTGACTAATTCAAGGCTAAAGCCTCTGAGTAAGTGTCATTGTCACGTCTTTGTCACATGGACCACGTCTATGGTAGAACCTATTGTCAGCCAACTAGCTCCAGTCTCCGCCGCGTCTATCCTGTTTCTATCCCTAATACCAAGTCTATGACCTCCCATGCCATAGTCTCTTGCGTGCCAACCCACAAATGTTGTGGTACTGCTTGCTATGATTAGGTTCAATGATGAACCACAACGTTTGTGGGTTGGCACACAAGAGACTAGGGCATAGGAAGTAATAGACTTGGTATCATAGATAGAAAGAAGAGAGAAACAGTTGAAGCTAGAGCTAGTTAGCTAACAATAGTCGTGATTCAAGGATCAAGTCTATTGTCATCCAAATAGCTCTAGTCTGCACCGCGTCTTTCCTATTTCTATCTGTGATACCATGTCCTTGTCTTTTGTGTGCCAACCCACAAATGTCGTGGTTCTACTTGTTTTGATC